TAGTCTCCATGCTGTTTGCAGGCATGTGACTTGTGACTGTTCCTTTTAATTTCCATGTAACTAACATCCTCATTGTTATGCTGTTTCCCTTTTTAAAAGTTAAATGCTACTGTGGTGGGTTTCTTTGGCATTTTCATCCCAAAAGGGATGTGTGGCAAGGGCTCCTCTTTCCCAGGCCACTGCTTGGGCTGGCAGCTTGTCCCCTTCCCAGGGGCTGGGCTTGCAGCTGGTTTCTGGGGGTAGTGAGCCCAACCGCTCCTTCTGGGACTCCCTGCCCTGCTCTCCAGCTGTTAGGGCTTACTCTCATAGAATCATCGAGCTGGAAGAGACCTCAGGAGGTTATCAAGTCCAGCCCCCTGCCCAAGGCAGGACCAATCCCAACTGCTCTCAAACTCTTGGGCTGTGTCTACATTGGTGCGATCTTGCGCCAAAGCAGCCGCTTTTGTGCAAAAACGTGCTGCCTGTCTACACTGGCGGGGAGTTCTCGCGCAAGAACACTGACGTTCTAATGTGTGAAATCAGTGCATCTTGCGTAAGAACTACGATGCTCCCGCTCAGGAATAAGCCTTCTTGAGCAACTGTTCTTGCGCAAGAGGCCAGTGTAGACAGGCAACATGAATTTCTTGCGCAAGAAAGCCCGATGGTTAAAATGGCCATCAGAGCTTTCTTGCACAAGAGAGCGTTTACACTGGCATGGATGCTCTTACACAAAGGCACATGCCCGTGTAGACGCTCTCTTGTGCAAATACTTTAACGCAAGAACTCTTGCATTAAAGAGTATTTGCGCAAGATCATGCCAGTGTAGACACAGCCTTGCTCTTTGCCTCTCCTCTGCCTCTCACTCTTCCCTCCCCTTCTAACTGGGGAGGCTTTTACAGGCCTCCAGCAGGCCTAAAGTGGAGTCAGCTGGCCCCAATCTGCCATGGCCAGCTCCCTGCAGCTGCTTCTAATTGTCCTATTGGGCTGCCTTTCTCCCACTCTGTAGCAACCCTCTGGCCTGACCCTGCCACAAATGTTACATTTAATTATGTTAAATTAAACCAGTTCCACTTAGGACTAAATCAAGAATTGTCTGTCCCCTAGTGGGTTCCAGGACAAACTGTTCCAAGAAGCAGTCATTGGATGTGTCTAGAAGTTTCGTCTCTGCATCGCTTCCTGAGCTGACACACCCAGTTAATATCAAGGGAGTTGAAATCTCCCCTTGTTGTTGCATTTTCTGCCTTCATAGCCTCTCTAGTGTCCCTGAGCATGTCACAGTCACCATCGCCATCTCTGTCAGGTGGCTGGTGGGCTAGTCCACTGCTGACCTCCCCTTTAACCTAGGTAAGGCTGCTGGCCCACAGCCTCAGTGCAGAGAGAACTAGTGAGGTGAGGAGGGAGAGTAGTTGAGAGCAGGGTTTCCTTAGATCAGTGATCTCCAACCTTTTTAAGCACTTTTTGAATTTAAGTGCAATCCAAGAGCTACCTCAAGTATAAATACCCTGGCCCCACCCCCCTTCCGCCCCTTCCCCGAGGCCCCACCCCTGCTCACTTCAACCTCCCTCTCTCCCCCATCCTCACTGACTTTCACCAGGCTGGGGCAGAGGGTGGGGTGCAGGCTCTGGTCTTGGATTAAAGGATCTGGAGTGTAACGGGCTTTGAGCTGCTCTCAGGGCAGGCAGTTGGGATGTAGGAGGTTCTAGGTGCAGGCTGTGGGACGGCATTTGGATTCAGGGGTGCTTGGGGCTGGGACAGGGACTTGGGGTACAAGAGGGGGTTCACTTCTGGGGTAGGAGTTTGGGATGTGGGCTCCAGCTGGGCACTGCTTATCTCAAGGGGCTCCTAGTTGATGCTCCAGTGGGGCTAAGGCAGGCTCTCCCCTGCACCACTCCCGAAAGTGGCCAGCAAACTCCATCCCAAGTCCTGTGGAGAAAGGATACAGAGTAGGAGGGAGCACCCTCCTCGCCCTGCCTTGCCCTGCACAGAAAGCACAAGGCTCCCCATGGGGAGGGGGAGCTCTAAGGCAAAGGGCAGGAGATGCGCAGCAGTGGGGGGAGAGGCAGGTGAAGTGCCGGCACCTCTTGGCCAAACCAGTCCGAGGCTCCAAGATCTACCAGTAGATCCTGATTCACTGGTTAGTGACCGCTGCTCTAGATCATTAGGACGGCCATCCTGAGTCAGACCAGTGGTCGGTCTAGCCCAGGGATGGGCAATCATTTTTGAAGGAGGACCACTTGGAAGGGCCTCGGGTGGAAGGAGCGGGACCAGGAAACTTCCCATGCTCCCCCGCCCACAGACCCTGATTGGCCTGGGGGTGGGGGAGCGCATGAAGTCTTTGTCCCCTGGCACCTAGAGATGTTCTGAACAGCTGACCGTTCCCTCTAGGCGTCGCATGTGCCTGATGGCAGAAGGAGGTTTGCGTGCTCCCCTCACCTCCAGGCCAATCAGAGCTGGGGGCGGGGGAGCACGTGAAATCTTTGCCTCCCGCCCCCACGCTGCAAGGGGTGCATGTCGCCTAGCGTGAACAGCTGACACTTCCCTCTGGTGCCACGTGCCCCTAGCAAGGGGAGGAGACTTTGTGCACTCCCGACCCTGGGTCTTGATTGGCTTGGGGGTGGGGGCGTGGCAGAGCGGCCACAGCTGGATCAACCTGCTTGGTGGGCCAAATGCGACCCACAGAGGCTTGCTTGCCCGGCCCTGATCTAGGCCAATGTCCTCTCCTCTGACAGTGGCTGGTGTCAGGTGCCCCAGAGGGAATGAACAAATAGGGCCATTTATCAAGTGATCCATCCCCTGTTGTCCAGGTTTAGGGATGCCAGAACATGGAGTTGTGTCCCTGACCATCTTGGCTAATAAGTATTGATGGGCCGGTCCTCCGGGGCCTTACCTAATCTTTTAAAACCCAGTTATAGTACATCAAGTATCGATAAACTCCCTTACCTTGCCAGAGCCCAACAAATCTCCTTTCTTAGCCCCCCAAGTGGTAATAGCTGTCAGTCACTCTTCACCGGAGCAGAGGTGGAGCTGGGCTAGAAATGAGAAGCTGCGTGTTTACCACCCTGGGGCTGTGTCTACTCTATACGGTTATTTCAAAGCCAGCCAATTAGCCCGTCATAAGACGGGATTTTCAGGTCTTCTCTCCTGAGCGCTCTCTCTCTCTCTCTCTCTCTCTCTCTGGCCGTGTCCAGACTCAGGGGTTTTTTCGGGAAAAGTAGGCTTTTCCCGAAAAAACTTCCCCTGCGTCCAGACTCAAGCCGCGTTCTTTCGAAATTATTTCGAAAGAACGCGGCTTTTCTTTCGATGGCGGTAAACCTCGTTTCACGAGGAAGAACGCCTTCTTTCGAAAGTTCCTCTTTCGAAAGAAGGCGTTCTTCAATGTAAAGAGGCCGTCTTCGAAAGAGAGCATCCAGACTCGCTGGGTGCTCTCTTTCGAAAAAGCGGATTTCCTCTATCGAAAGATCCGCCTGCAGTCTAGACGCGATCTTTCGAAAGAGGCTCTTTCGAAAGAAGCCTGCAGTCT